ATGTTCATCCAGCTCCAAGATGGCTGCCACATTCCCACATCTGCATGTGAAGCAGAGAAAAAAGATAAAAACAGGATGTCACAAATTTTTATCACTGCCACACCTCTGGGTAGCCACATCACTTTAAAAGCTACCTGGTCCTCTGGGATTCTTTCTATACTGAACATAATTTGAAATAATATTGCCCAAGACTAGTAACACTCATTCACTATTCCTACATCCATCCCTACTGTTTCCTCACCGGTAGCAATAGTTGGGAGCAGACCACACAGTAAGAACTGTCTCATTGAAGTGCCATTTGTACCCCTCCATCACCAGCTGATGTGCCCTGCAAATCATGTCGATATCATTTGCTGCGTTGAATTGTGCTACCACATCACTGCCAAATAAATAGCCAGCACCTCGAGGGCTTACACCCCAGCCTGTAGTGTCTGCAGAGACAAAAGAGCAGAGTTTATGACAAAAGAAAATCAAGTGCCAAACATGCTCAAAGAAGGTAATGTCTGCACCTGCCAAACTTGCAATTCAAAGCTGATCAGCAGCCACCAAGAAGGATAGAGTGGTAAAAGTTAAGAGTAGGAGTTATAATAAGTCTTTTGCTCTGCTAAAGTAAAGTAAAGTTCCACTTCCCATTTTACCACCTACTCCTTATAAACATAACTGAGGAATGGAAGAAAGGGGAAGTATGGACAAAGAACACCTGGTTACTTTTAGTAAAAGATCCAGAATAGGACTTTATTTGAATCAGTGATGGAGCACTGGGCCCATAAATGTCAGATGGATCTCTGGGCCTCAGTAACAAAGGCCCCATCAATGTCTTTACAAGTGAGAGGACTGAAAATCCAAAACATATTAGGTAACTACCACAAAGTACTCAGAACTGCATTATGTCCCTGTGATCTCTTATACGCTAGATTCAATTAGATGAAGGTATCTATGTAACAGTCACTGTTCCTTAAGGCGCTAATTCTGCATTACAATTAAAGAGATCATATATGTCTACCACATTTTACTTATATAACACACATCCTTATTATACTTTCCCTGAAAAAAACAAAAACCTCCTGTAACTGCTTTAACACTACCACACTCTATACATATATACACTGTCCTCAGTTATACCTTCTGGGTCAGACCACAGAAGATCACACATGGGACCATCATGAGGCACCTCCTGTTTGCGGTCTATCGTTCGGATCTGATCCAGTGTTTGAATAGATGGGGACAAACCACCATGGACACAGAAAATCTGAAACAGAAAAAGCAAAGTTGAAAAGCTGCATATGAAAGAAAAAACAGCATCTCAGACCACTGTTCCTTCCTTTCCCATCACCCCACATTGATGTTATTTTTTCAGTAGTTTACTTAATCTAATCCCTGAACTAAATTTCATCTTCACTTCATAAAGCACTGCACACACACACTGGTCAGGCTATGTAACTAACCTCACACCTGTACTCACCTTGCCATCAATGATAGCAGAGAGGCTGAGGTAGTCAAAGATCTCAGTGCAGTAGCGCCACACAGTGACGGAGCCATATTTCCTCAGGCACTCATCATAAAACCCATACACCTGGGTGATTTGTCTGCTCTCATGGTTGCCACGGATCAGGGTGATTCGGTCAGGGTAGCGGACCTATAATCAAGATAAGTTTAGCTATTTTTCAATCAAGAGCTTGGAAACTCCTAGGAATTTCAGTCTGAAAAAGCAACTCTCCAAGCTCTGATACAGAATCATAGAATTACAAAGTTGGAAGAGACCACAAGGGCTATCCAGTCCAATCCCTTGCCATACAGAATACACAATAAAAGCACTCCTGACAGATGGCCATCCAGCCTCTGTTTAAAAACCTCCAAAGACTCCTCCACACTCCAAGGTGGCATATTCCATTGCCGAACAGCTCTTAGCATCAGAAAGTTCCTCCTAATATTTAGGCAGAATCTCTTTTCCTGTAGTTTCAATCCACTGCTCCATGTCCTAATCTCTGGAGCAGCAAAATAAATAAATAAATAAATAAATAAAAATTAAAAAAACAAAACAAAACAAGCCATTTCCCTCTTCAATATGACATCCTTTCAAATATTTAAACACAGCCTCTTACCCTTCTCTTTCCCAGGCTAAACATACCCAGCTCCCTCAACCACTCCTAACAGGGCATAGTTTCCAGACCTTTCACCATTTTGCTTGCTCTACTCTGGACATGTTTGCTTGTCAATATCCTTCTTAAATAGTGGTGCCCAGAACTAGACACAGTATTCCAGGTGAGGTCTGACCAAACAGAATAGGGTGGTACTATTACTTCCCTCCATCAAGACACTATATTTAAATCCTATGACATCTGTGAGAAGCATACAGTCTACACTGGAGGAGGTAAGAAAGTTAAAATGTACGTTCTTAATCAGAGGGGTTCCTAACCTTGAGTGCTAGCAGTAACAAGAATGTTTCAACACTGTAGAAGCCACGGTCAACAAAATCTCCCATGAAGAGATAGTTGGTCTCAGGCACATCACCTCCCACCTGTACCAAGAAAAAGGACACAAAGTAATCACCTGTGAAAGTTATCGATAAGCACTATGGAATTGGGTGGTAATAGTACTCACCCTGAAAAGCTCTTTGAGGTCATAAAACTGGCCATGGATATCTCCACAAACCTGGAAAGAAAAATGCAGCAGGGATGAAGAGAAATGAGAGCATTCACATAATTATTGTTATCATCTCAGTCCCAAAATACCACTTAAAATCCCAAGAGAACTCTGACTTACTGTTACTGGGGAATCTACTCTCTGGACATTGCTTTCTTCCACTAAAATCTCTCTGTTGGGGGAAAAAAGATACATTACACTCAGCCACTTCTCACCATAATCACCTGCACATCTTGGCTTCAAAACAGAGATGTCCTGGAGGTCTGAGAGCCAATAAATAAATAGACTCGTCCCTTCCTGTTTGTGGACTTGGAGTCCACAGTCTTGCTCCTTCGCAGATGGCAAGCAAGGAGGGACAAAATGGCACATGTACAGGAGTGCGCGTCTATTTTAACCAATGGTTTTTGAATATTTGCAGTTTTCCCAATTTGCGTGGGGAGGGGGGGGAGAACAAGTGTACTTTAAAAAAATGTCCACCAGAACTCACCTGGCCTTAGCACAGAGGGCTTTGACCTCACTCTCCTTAATAAGTTCACAGCGCCGCAGTTGTTCAATCTGACGGTCAAGGTCACTGATTTCAGCCATCTTGCCCCCTGTAGAATTTATGTAATTATGTTTTAAAAGCATTCTTTAGCTACCTTTAATAAAAAAAGATTCCAAGCTAAAAGCCTATACTAAAAGCCTATATAATTGATAAAGATATGCAACTATGACACAAGTAAAAGACATCTCCAATTAAACTCTCTATCAGGCTGAGAGATAAACCCCAAATGACAGAAGAACCCTAGTTGTACGTCCTATTTCCAGTATTATCTGATCGGTCAGAACAAACAAAAGGAATATCAAAAGTGGCAAGCCTGACACGCAATACCAACATCCCTTTATACAAGGGATGGAGAATGTGTGGCCCTTTAGATTGTACTGGCTCAAAACTTTTTATTGTTGGGTTGTTTGTGATGTTAACTGCCCTAGAGTTGATCCTGACTCAGGGCAATCCTGTGGATAGACATCTCCAAGCTTCCCTGTATCTTCCACTGCTCTGTCTAGGTCCTGCAAAACCATGCCTGTGACCTCCCTGATTGAGTCTTGTCATCTGGAATGTGATTTTCCTCTTTTTCTACTAGCCTTTACCTTTCCCAGTATTATTGTCTTTTTCAATGAGTTGTGCCTTCTCATGATGGGGCCAAAGTACAACAGCCTCAATTCAATCATCTTAGCCTCCAGGGAGAGTATGGGCTTGATCTGTTCAAGGACTCATTTGTTTGTCTTTTTGGCTGTCCAGGGTATCCTCAGCACTCTTCTCCAGCACCACATCTCAGATTAGTTGCTTTTCTTCCTATCTGTCTTCTTTACTGTCCAGCTCTCACATCTGTACCCTTGGAAGTCCCCTTTACATCTATGTGCGGACATCGTGCCGTCTTTCAACACAGAATGTGAATTAAAGTATTTTGTTTATTTAGTGTATTTTCATTCACATATTCATGTATATTAACATTTTATAAGAAAATAACATTGTTCAATTAGAACAGTTTTAATTATGTAAATTCAATATTTAACTCAACGCATGTCTTCCACATAAAATAGTTTGGGAAGAAGAGGAGGGATCAGGGCCTCCTGCACCCACCCACCCCTTGAGTAACTCTTGTGCCCCCCCACACACCCTGGGTCTTGCCCCACCTTTTGATAACCACTGAACTAGACTGTAACTCCCCTCAGCATTGGCTATGAGCAATGGGAACAGCATTCTAAGAACATCTGGAGGGCCTCACATTTCCCATTCCATCCAGGAATTCAGGCTTCGACTCCAGCTTATCTCATTTGCCTAGTAACATGTATGAAAAGGGATCTTGTAGCACCTTTGAGACTAAGTGAAAGGAAGAAGTTGGCAGTGTGAGCTTTTATAAACTTGAGCCTCTGTAGGCTGAAATCTATAAAAGCTCATGCTACCAACTTCTTTCCTAAAGTTAGACTCAATGGTGCTACAAGATCCATTTGTATACTGATCCTCCTAACTAACATGGCTATGTCTTTGAATTCTAGTAATGTGATGAAATCTAAAAGAAAGAATGAGGAAGAAGTAAGGGTGGAGACAGAAAGACAGATAAGGTCAAGCCAAAAATGAGACCGGTTGTGACCAACTCCCTCCCATTGCCAAAACTACACCCCAGTCTCCTTCACACCCACCCACTGTTCTGATCAATACCAATTTTAACATCTAATCCAACCCTCCTTCCTTCTATATCCCTAACACCAGTTCTCTCAATGCATCCATCACATTCCCTTAACCCAGTGTTCCTAGAGAAGCAAATTGGATTTTGTAGCACCTTTGAGACTAACAGAAAGAAAGAAGCTGGTAGCATGAGCTTTCGCAGTGGTTTGAGTGTTGGACTATGACTCTGGAGACCAGGGTTCAACTCCCTGCTGTGTGAAATCCACTGGGTGACCTTGAACAAGTCACATGCTCTCAGCTTCAGGGGAAGACAATGGCAAACCTCCTCTGAACAAATCTTGAAAACTCCATGATAGGTTTCCTTAGGGTTGCCATAAGTCAGAAACAACTTGAAGGTACACAGCAACAGACTTGAGTCGACTTCCTCACATGTTTGCTTGAGAAAGTAGGTTCAAGTCCACAAAAGCTCATGTTACCAGCTTTCCTTGCCGTTAGTCTCAAGGGTGCTACATGATATATTGGCATATTAGTTTTCCAGATTAACATGGCTGTGTCTTTGAATTCATATACAAATAGGCTTAAAAAGGCTTAGAAGTTTGAGTGTTGAACTATGACTCTAGAGACCAGGACTTGATTCCCAGCTCAGCCATGAAACCTACTGGGTGACCCTGGGCAAGTTACATGCTGTCAGCCTCAAGGGCAAGCCTCCACTGAATAAATCTTGTGAAGAAAACTGCATGACAGGGCCCCTTAGCACCAGCATGATGCAGTAATTTGAGCACTGGATTAAGACGCCTCCATTTGTTCATTTATCAATTTGATGCCATTAATTCCATACAGCTATTTTATCTATTGAGAGCTGGAGATTTGAGTGCTGGACTCTGACTCTAGAAACCAGGATTCAATTCCCAGCTCAGCCATATAAACCCACTGGGTGACCTTGGGCAAGTCACACCCTCTCAGTGCCAGGGGAAGGCCATGGCAAACCTCCTCTGAAAAACCTTGCCCAGAAAACCCCATGATAGGCTAGCCATAAGTCAGAAACAACTTGAAGGCACACAAGAACACAAGAGCGTGTTCAGAGGAGAGCAACCAAAATGGTGAAAGGTCTGGACACCATACCCTACGAGGAGAGACTTAGGGAGCTGGGTATGTTTAGCCTGGGGAAGAGATGGTCACAAGGTGCTATGATAGCCTTTTTTAAGTATTTGAAGGGGTGCCATATTGATGATAGAGCAAGCTTGTTTTCTGCTGTTCCAGAGAATTGGACCCAGAACAAAGGATGCAAGCTACAGGAAAAGAGATTCCACCTCAACATTAAGAAGAACTCCTGACAATAAGAGCTGTTCCACGGACTCCACTGTGCTGGAGTCTCCTTCTTTGGAGATCTTTAAACAGAGGTTGGATGACCATCTGTCAGGGATGCTTTGATTGGGAGTTCCTGCATGGCAGGGGAGTTGGACTGGATGGCCTTCGAGGGTCTCTTATCTTATCTAAAAATCTGTCAGTAAACTGAGGATTTTTCTGGCCTTTCAAGAAGGCCCACAACCCTCTCACCACACGGGGCCATCTGTCCGAGAAGCCTTCCTCCTCTCCAGGCCCCGAAGTCCATGTGGGCCCCGTTCCTCTTCCTCTTGGACCCCTAAAGGGAAGCTCACCGCCCCTTCTCTCTCCTCAAGGCTCCTCAGCCTCCCTAGGAAACAGACCAAACCCCTCATTTCCCCCTCCATACTAACAACCCTCCTTCCTCCCCTGTCTCCA